CTTGGCAAGCTTTATATACAAAAAATTTTAAAAAAATATTTACCTTCTGTTATAAAATACTTTACCATCTGAGCGAACCCGAATGAACTTGTTTTCCTGAAAGAATCTTTGTAATGCTTCTCATCTTTAAAAAACAAAAATTACGTCAAAGCCATAATACCTGATCGAGCATATGATACCAACCATCTCGTTCATTTTGAAAAAATGTATCAGGAATCCATAACTGTTGATCCCTAGCAACGTTGATAAAGTCAATTGTCCGGAACTCACTGAGGTGTTCAAAGTTCAATCTATTATCAAACCATTCTTGCTGGAACTGGAACTGTGCCATGTATTCCTTGAATTAAAGTGATTTAATTGTGAAAACGGTGAAGCAGTCTCATGGCATCTGGTAAGAGGTTTTAAAAATCCACGTCGATGTGTTTATGACAATTCGGTAATAATCCTTGGACTTTGTGTACGTACAAAACAACCTCTCTCTCAGGCACACTTTTTATAATTTTGGTGAACAGATTTAACATTATTTTTCCAATATATAGTTACGACAAACATTATCACCAAAATTTATTGTTCAGTTCACGTTGAGTAAACAGAAAATAATTCTTAAATTGTGGCTTTGAATATTAGATCAGCTTTTAACAAAAATCAACATAAACTTGCCATATTTTTTTCACTGACAGCGCTAATGGAGTTGATAATAAGGCTGGTTTTGACAATTATCGGTTCTCCTTAATGTATTATTATTACGATATACACTTCTACACTTTAGAATGCAAACTATAACCTCTACTCATTATCAAACTTCAAAAACGCTTTTTGACTTATCCCAAGTATTGTAGAATTCTTAAATTTGACTCACTATTCAATAGCTTCATTATTGAGAACAACTGTGTAACTAACTTGGACTATCCAACGTTTTGCCACCAGATGGTCGTACCAGATGGTCGTATCTGCTTTCACTGCCTTTCAGAAGTTTACAAATAGTGTGCTGTTCTAGCCATGCTTTGAAATTGGTTGTAGGGCGATCAAACTGTATTGCTTTACTGTAAAACAAATCTTTAAATTTTAAAATTTTCTTCTTAAAATTGAATTTGGAAGATTTTAGTGTTTGTCGCGTTGTTGATTTTTAGATAAATAAAATAAGAAATAGTAATAACTTCAAAAGAACTTAAAATTTGCAAGCTTGTAAGATTCCATAGCTAGCGAGAAACGAAAAACTCAACTTCAAAAAACAACTGTATGGAGACAAAAAATCACCCACCAAATAGCTTTATCCCGTTCCTTGTTTCTTCTAATGCAATTACAGGTTTCAAAACAGAACAGTAGCAGCACTAAAGAGGTAGTTTGGCAGTGCAAAATAAATGCTTTAAATGCAATTTTCATTACTTCACATAATTATCGCTTTCTGAGTACTAGTGCAGAGGTTGCTGTGATTCGAAAAAATTTTTTTTTCGAAGAGTCAACAGCGTTTCTACTGCAATTGTTTCATGCATACAAATTCGGCAATTTTTTCTTTCTGGAAATTTAAAAAATTATTATAAACAATAGACAAAAAGAAACAAAAGAGTAACAAACACTAGCGAAGACTAAGTGTAAACTAAAGTGGAAGGTGCCTGCGGTCAATGTTTTAAAAGAAAAACTTAAATAATAAGCGGTCTACAACAAAAACTCATTGCTTTTCTATTCTCCTTTATTCGTCCGCTCTTACTAATATTATTAACAGTTTATTTCCCAACAAAAATAACTTTTTTAATTACTTTTGACTTGCATATTTGTTCAGTTAGCCAAGTAAGTGTGGCCTAGTGAATGATCAAACCTCGTTTCCACAACTTTTGGTCCGTATTACGAACGACAAGAAATACTGCAGCAAACTTTTGTGTTTTTTTTTATAAGATATAAGGTTATAAGACAGTATAAAGCACTGCGTCTATAAAAAGTCAATGAATAAGAAATGCTTAGGAAGGATAACACCAGTTCCATCTGAACTGGAGGAAAATCTAAAATTAAGAAAAAGAAATTAACGACTTAAAGTAATTTACCGACTAAAAGTTGTGGTAAAGAGCACGATAGTATGAATCGTTTCAACATTGTGGTGAAATTTAAGCGTTTAGAAAACCTCAGACAAAAAAGATATGCGACTGGAAAGTAAAAAGATGAAAAAATTGAGAAAATTCAATTGTAGACAAAAATTATATGTTTCTTCTTATTATAACATCTATATAAATTGTCTTCAATAACAAAAAACTGGGAGCAAAAATAGCAGAATTCACAGTTTCAAATAGCTTCTGGTCAGAATAAAACTGTATTCTGACCATTTTATAATCTGCTAATTCCGAAGTTTCCTTTGGTTTGAAGCAAAAAATTGAACATTTCAAAACTTCCCCGTGTTTAGCTTCGTACAGCTTTTCGAGGATCTCTCCAGTTATTTACATAGTCTTGTCACTCAACAGAACAACTGATGAAGATGGCAGCAAAAGCCACCAATCTAAAACAGTTTTTTTTTTTCGGTGAAGAAATAGTAGAAGAAGAAGAACCTAAAGTTAAATGTGGAAAGGCAGACAACTCTACTGGGAAGCGACCAGTAAGCTGTCTGCTACGAGAAATTAATATTTGATGTACAGCAACTTCTTCTTCATTAGCCGGTGCTTCAGAGCAGATAAGCAGCCAATCTTAGACACTTTTTTTCAGCTTATCACTGTCAGTAGCAGTAAAAAACAATCAAAAAGCAATCAGCAACTTCAGCATTTTACAATAATTCAAGTTTCTTAAATAGTTGATAATCGTTCTTTTTAAAACCGACCTTAGATTAACAAAAAGTTTAATACAAATTGAAAAAAGAATTATAAAAACAAAATTTTTTAAAAAGTCTTGCTCTGTTTCACTAATTATCATTTTGCAGTTACTCTGGACAAAAACCAGTAAGATCTATTAAAGATAGCAAGTGCCAAATTTAAAAAAATTACCAAAACTTTTACTTTAACAGTTTTTCTTTCGGTTAGATAAGTCTTTCCGACTTTAGTTTCATTCACTTCGTGCAAGCTGCAATGAAATTACAGTCAGAAAATAGTTGTATTGTTTTAAAAACTGCGTTTAAGTTTTAATAATAATAGTTTCTTTTAATCAACAATATACTTCAGAACTTTAACCTTAATGCCGCTGTGACCTTTACGCAAAGAAGGCCTTCACGGCTTCACTCTCAAATATATTATAATTGAAAACTATCTTTAGAGCACACTTTTTTTACATCTATCTGATATAAACATTAGAATACAAACAGCCAAAATAAAGCTGTTCTTCTACTATGAAACTTTTTTTTTAAATAGAACGATGATGTCCACAGATTCATAATTTCAAGCAGAAATCATATTTCTATTTAGGTCG